AAAAAAAAAAGAGAGCGAAAGAAATTGAATTCTCTGTTTAAAAAAACAATCTTTGACGCATTTATCATCGAAAGCATCTTGATTTTTGGATGATGTGAATTCAGTTCTTCAAACGGGTTTATGATACAATATTCGACCAACTGCGCTTTTTAAAAGATGCTATGATTGAGAAGCTTCCAATTTTTGCAGTTCAATGAGGAAACTTAGGGTCACGCAATATGATAACTACAAATTATTATGCACTCGTGAAACACGTTTAAAATCACTATTTGATTTGGCATATTTTTATACTTTGGGATATAGGATTTTAAAATTCTTGAGAGATGTTCAGACTTGCTGGAAAAATTCCATTCAAATTCATCCTAACACTAAATAACGGCTTTTAACATACATTTTATTGTTCTAGAATTGAAGTCAAAGTGAAAAATCCGAATCTTAATTGGCGACCGGAAATTTTTCAATCGGAGATGGTTCTATGAACGCATATTCTGCTGTTTTCTTTCAATTTGAAATTATTTTTCTCTTTAGTAATTGAATGTTCGTATCTTTGTTTTATCGCAGAAGCATAAACCTCAAGTAGTTTCAAATTACAATGAGGCCATTGCAAACACGAGGAAGCACATCCAACAATACAGGCATTCCGTGACCCATGAAGACCAAGAAGAGGTCAAGGAACAATCCAGCAACAAGCAGCACATGATACAAACCAACCAGGTGACATCAAATCAAGAGTCACCCAATAATGTCCTGGACCTGGGATTTGCCCAAGTTGTGGTCAGTACACAAGCAAGTGTCCATGTGGACTCTGAATACCAAAAGAAGTATGGCATAGAGTCCTCACCTTCTTACAATGTACCAACAACTACAACAGAACCCAGTATTGGGGTTTGGATTGCACCCAAGGGACAGAAGTCTTACAGTGCACCTATTCAGAGTTTTGCGCAGGCAAATGTGCAGCAACCTGCTGGTCAACATTTTCACCAGCAACAAGGATACTCCAGACCATCCCAACAAGTAGTAACAATTCAGGATGACTCATCAAGTGAGGAAGTTGGTCCAGCTCCAGAAAAACCAGCTCTAACAACATCTTACAGGCCTGTGAATGTAAACTCCAGATTTTCCTCCACATTGCCAGAATATTCCACAGTTGCTAAAAATCCATTGCTGCCAATAGTTCAGCAGAGTTACCCTCAAGCAAACATTCCCAATTCTTCCAGAGCAAGAGGAAGACCAGGAAATGTGTATTTTAGCTTTCATGCTAGAAAACATGCAGATCAAGTGCATAATCACCATCATCAGTCTTCTCAACATCACAAATTACATGAGACATCAGCTTCAACTTACTTTGATGAGCAGCAGGAAGCAGGACCTTTGTACACAAGTGGGAACCCATTGCTTGTAAACTCTCACAACAACAAGGGTGACAGTAATCATTACATCAAGAATTCATCTGAGGAACAAAGTCAACATCAAATCAATTTTCAGACAAAATACCATGCTGATGTTCCTTCTGCATCAGCTCCAATTACTTATGCTCCCACAAGGTCGCAGCCATTGGCTGTAATGTCAGTGCCCCAGATGCACAAACTGTCTCATCACAGAGCTTCTCAATTTACCCAGGAACTAAGTGCAAAAACTCATTCATCCGCTGAGATCAATCAAGACCTTCCAGTTCAAACCAAAGCTACCATTTCTAGACCTCCAGGGTTCCCCAACCGTTCCAGGTTTACCAAGGACATAGACTTATATTCTCAACCAACCTATGACATACCATACCAGCAGCAGCATGCACCTGGCTCTTCAGCAAGATCACTCAACACCTATGCAAGGGCACCTGTCAGAAGGCCATCTTGGACATCAGTGAACAGTGGGCCTCATCAGAACTATGGCAAGACAGTCCAAACCTTGTCTCATGGAAACAGGTACTCATCAGGGTATGTCCAGCATGGAACCTCATGTCCCAACTGCTACCAAGCACCAAAAAGGCTTCCTTACCACCGCCCAATCACTAAACCAGTGCACACATACAACTCTGGTAGTTTCCAGAGGATAGTTGGAGGGCGTCCAGTCATTTACTACACCAGAGAGGCCCATCATCACAACAGGTATGCCAAGGTTCACAACCAGTATGCTGATGCATATGACCATAGACATACAACTCTGGTAGTTTCCAGAGGATAGTTGGAGGGCGTCCAGTCATTTACTACACCAGGGAGGCCCATCATCACAACAGGTATGCCAAGGTTCACAACCAGTATGCTGATGCATATGACCATAGACAAGCTGTGGTGGGTCAGCATCATGCTCATAGAGCCCATGTGAGTCATAGGCCAAGTTACCAGCATGTTGGACATCAGTATTCCCCTGCTTTTGGTGCAAAGGCACAAGCAAGTGCCCATGCTGGGATGAGTGGTGCACAAGCCAGTGCTGTGGCTCGTGCTGTTGGCAAGGCTAATGCTCAGGCATCTGCAACAGCCCATGGATGGAGATGATGGAGCAATTTTTTCTCAGAAGTCAAATTATTTTTATGAATGCCATTGTATTGCAACTTGGTGCATTTTTTTTCAAACACATCATGTGACTGGTATTAATATGCGTGGACGGTTGTGATTTATGTCCCAAATTTGATGAGAAGAAATAGACATTTTACTTTGTCCCAGTTCAAATGCTGCTTCATTTCCACTCACCATCATGAGCGTTGACTTACAATTCGACAGGCAGGCATCCCACGGACTGCAGCAGTACTGCGACAGGTACTCGTCGCAATTATGGGCGACAGAGGATCCCAAACTCATTCGGGGTTCGTGGGTTCTACAGCAAGAACCCGGGCGATGGGATGATATTCACCAGGCAAACAGCCTCAGCAGTGGTGGTGAGCACGACGATTCATTAAACAAAGGAAGGAGGACAATCTTTAAAAAAAAAAAGAGAGCGAAAGAAATTGAATTCTCTGTTTAAAAAAACAATCTTTGACGCATTTATCATCGAAAGCATCTTGATTTTTGGATGATGTGAATTCAGTTCTTCAAACGGGTTTATGATACAATATTCGACCAACTGCGCTTTTTAAAAGATGCTATGATTGAGAAGCTTCCAATTTTTGCAGTTCAATGAGGAAACTTAGGGTCACGCAATATGATAACTACAAATTATTATGCACTCGTGAAACACGTTTAAAATCACTATTTGATTTGGCATATTTTATATACTCTTCGATATACGATTTTAAAATTCTTGAGAGATGTTCAGACTTGCTGGAAAAATTCCATTCAAATTCATCCTAACACTAAATACCGGCTTTTAACATACATAATGTTCTAGAGTTGAAGTCAAAGTGAAAAATCCGAATGATAATTGGCGACCGGAAATTTCCAATTGGAGATGGTTCTATGAACGCATATTCTCCTTTTTTTTTTCAATTTGAAATTATTTTTCTCTTTAGTAATTGAATGTTTGTATCTTTGTTCTATCGCAGAAGCATAAACCTCAAGTAGTTTCAAATTACAATGAGGCAATTGCAAACACGAGGAAGCACATCCAACAATACAGGCATTCCATGACCCATGAAGATCAAGGAGAGGTCAAGGAACAATCCAGCAACAAACAGTACATGATACAAACCAACCAGGTATCATCCAATCAGCAGGAGTCACCCAAGAATGTCCTGGACCTGGGATATGCCCAAGTTGTGGTCAGTACACAAGCAAGTGTCCATGTGGACTCTGAATACCAAAAGAAGTATGGTATAGAGTCCTCACCTTCTTACAATGTACCAACAACTACAACACAACCCAGTATTGGGGTTTGGATCGCACCCAAGGGACAGAAGTCTTACAGTGCACCTATTCAGAGTCTTGCTCAGGCAAATGTGCAGCAACCTACTGGTCAACATTTTTACCAGCAACAAGGATACTCCAGACCATCCCAACAAGTAGTAACAATTCAGGATGACTCATCAATGGAGGAAGTTGGCCCAGCTCCAGAAAAACCAGCTCTAACAACATCTTACAGGCCTGTGAATGTAAACTCCAGATTTTCCTCCACATTGCCAGAATATTCCACAGCTGCTGAGAATCCATTGCTGCCAATAGTTCAGCAGAGTTACCCTCAAGCAAACATTCCCAATTCTTCCAGAGCAAGAGGAAGACCAGGAAATGTGTATTTTAGCTCTCATGCTAGAAAACATGCAGATCAAGTGCATAATCACCATCATCAGTCTTCTCAACATCACAAATTACATGAGACATCATCAGCTTCCACCTACTTTGATCAGCAAGAGAGAAGACCTCTATACACAAATGAGAACTCTGTGCTTGTAAAGTCCAATTACAATCAAGATGGCAGTGATTATTATATCAGCAATCATAACAAAGAGGCATCTGAGAAAGTGAGTGTTGGTGTATCTGCTGCATCACCCCAAGTTTACCTGCCTCTGAGGGCCCAGGCATTGGCTGTCACACCAGCTCCTTCAAAGCACAGACTACTGTTGAATTATCACAGAGCCACTCAGATTTCCCAGAGTCCAAACACTCATTCACCCAATGGAAACTTGCAGGATCAAACACAGCTGCAGGCAGAACCTGTTGTTGCAAGGCCTCCAGCAGTACAAACTTTCCCTTATCATGCCAGGTTTACCAAGGACATAGACACATATTCTCAACCATCCTATGACATACCATACCAGCAGCAGCATGCACCTGGCTCTTCTGCAAGATCACTCAACACCTATGCAAGGGCACCTGTCAGAAGGCCATCTTGGACATCAGTGAACAGTGGGCCTCATCAGAACTATGGCAAGACAGTCCAAACCTTGTCTCATGGAAACAGGTACTCATCAGGGTATGTCCAGCATGGAACCTCATGTCCCAACTGCTACCAAGCACCAAAAAGGCGTCCTTACCACCGCCCAATCACTAAACCAGTGCACACATACAACTCTGGTAGTTTCCAGAGGATAGTTGGAGGGCGTCCAGTCATTTACTACACCAGAGAGGCCCATCATCACAACAGGTATGCCAAGGTTCACAACCAGTATGCTGATGCATATGACCATAGACATGCTGTGGTGGGTCAGCATCATGCTCATAGAGCCCATGTGAGTCATAGGCCAAGTTACCAGCATGTTGGACATCAGTCTTCCCCTGCTTTTGGTGCAAAGGCACAAGCAAGTGCCCATGCTGGGATGAGTGGTGATGCACAAGCCAGTGCTGTGGCTAATGCTGTTGGCATGGCTAATGCACAGGCATCTGCAACAGCAGCCCATGGATGGAGATGATGGTGCAATTTTTACTCAGAAGTCAAATTATTTTTATGAATGCCATTGTATTGCAACTTGGTGCATTTTTTTTTTCAAACCCATCATGTGACTGGTATTAATATGCGTGGACGGTTGTGATTTATGTCCCAAATTTGATGAGAAGAAATAGACATTTTACTTTGTCCCAGTTCAAATGCTGCTTCATTTCCACTCACCATCATGAGCGTTTATTTTTCAAAGAGCATGTCTTATAACAAAAAGCCAAATTTTTTCAATATAGTTGCCAGCGTGTCGCGCAAATAAATTTCAAAATACGTTCAGGCATTCAGTCATTTTTAAAACCACGAAAGTAAACGTGTTAGCGTAGAATAGTTCACTATAGGAAAGGACACAAGTGCACCAAAATTCCATATTTTACACTGGATCAACATTCAAAGCTAAGAAATTGATTTCTGAAAACAGCCTGAGGTGGTTCTTCAAATTCCGTTCGGACGATAAGCATTTTGAAAACAAAAAAAAAAAAAAACCTTGCCGATTTTTGAATTCAACAAGTGGAGCTGCTCGGGTCCTTTAGCCGACTTTTTTTCGTGTCTTTGTCACACCTGCGAACGTCAAATTTTTAGATTAAAATTATAACATTAAAAATTCACATTTTTCCTGTCTTTTTTATTTAAAATTTTCGAAATAGTACTTACTGCATGGGCGTGTCTTCTTCCACTTGAAGAACAGTTTCAGGCAGCAAATAGTTTCTGGCAGTTTCAGGCAGGAGAAACACCAAGAATGCTGCGATTATTGCAAAAACCCCCAGGGTTGCCATTGGAACTGCAGGATGCGTCACTTTCCCCTGTAAAGCAAAGAAAGATTGCAGTTTGAAAGCTTCTTGAGAGCTTTTTTTCTTTCAAACAGATTTTTACCAAATTAAAATAACTCAGACTGTTGAAAAGTGTGCAGGGACAGTTTACAGCGTCAACTATTACTTTGTAGACAGGGCTTTATTTAAATAATTCTTGCAATTTATACTCCAGTAAAGCTGTGAAAACTTATTCCAGAGAATGTTTCAATGACCCAACCTCTTCTCTTTTTGAATATTAATTTAATGTCAAGTTCAGATTAAATGTGATATTTGAGTAATTTTCAGATTTTGCAATAAAGCACCTGGAAAACATTATTTTCACCAACTGCATATAAGGACATTTTGTGTTCTTATCCTTGTTAGAAACACATGCATTTAATTATTTCCTTAATTAGAATGTAGATGTACTTTCAGACCCTTCCAGACATACCTTGAATATACACATAAGTACACATCAATGATGCATTCTTTTTGGGCCCATCCTCTGACATGTCTTTCTCACATCCAAAAATTATGCAAATTTTTTTTGCATCAACTTTGCATTCCTCTACAACATGTCCCAGGCCATGTCTTTCTACTTGGGAACTGAACACAACATTTCATTCATCCTCACCTCACAGACACAATCCCTTGATAATATACACCTCACAGACACAATCCCTTGATTTTCTCTTTGATCATTTTTTTTGGTAACACTCATCATAATGTTAGGGTTATTGAAGCTTTGATCACAGACTGTGAATTTCTGCATTAAACTAAATAACTCTTTAACCTCAAATTTTTGAACTGAATAATTAGTAATTCAATAGGAAAATACAATTATTTACCACAGATACAAAATAAGGCGCCACAATGGCGCCCAGGGCTCCAGAGGCGAAACCAGCACCCAGTCCAATGCTCCTGAGCACAGTTGGGTAAATTTCTGCAGTGAACGTGATCAGCACGCAAAATGCTGCATAAGTGCCAAATTTCCCACACACAGCCAACATTTTCACAGGCCAATCCATGCCCAGGGTTTTTGGTGAGACAAACGCTGTCAAGAAACACGCTGCTCCGGTTTCTAGAACTGCTAGAAACAATGGGATTCGTTTTCCAGATTTTGACAAGATCCCAAGCACCATCAGGTTTGCAATCAGTTGGATTCCACCTGTTGGTGATGATATAAAAAAATACAAATGCAATTAAACAATCAACCCCAAATTGACAAACCACTTGATGCACAAAATATCATGCATACAAAAATCCCTTGGATAAGAAACCAAACATTGATGTATGGAGTTTTCTCAATGGTAAAAGTTGCTGTGAATGAAAAAATCAAATTAGCACAATATAGCACTGTGATGTATTTTCTTTGCTTTTAATACCCATACATAGCTTATTTATCTATTTTCCACCCTGATGCTGCAATGGAATGTGTTTGGATGGATGGGAGTGGGGAGGGGAGGGGGTTTGGATGTGAGAAAATTTTTTGAACTTTGTGAATGCTGAAAAGTAAAAAAAAATGAAGCATGTTTATCAATTGATTAATCAATTCAACACTGACATAAAAATGTCTACTTCCTGCCAACATGATATGATTAATGTACAAAACTGTCATGATTATTTTCTACTTTGGTTGATCATGATTAACAGTTTTCACTGTAATTTTACCTTATTTCCCATATTTTCTTATGTGAAGCAGTGTATATGACCATTTGTGTTATTGAACTGATCTTTTGACAGTTTTGAATCACTCAGATTCACTTTCTCACAGAGAAACAGACTTATAGTATTCTTCTGCTGATTTTTCTCCATATTTCTACAAAAGTAAACTGCTCATCTTGAGCAATTTTGATAATAAACCAGGATGAGTGATGGAATGTCTTACAGAGACTTGAAATACCATGAGTGGTATATGTTTATTTTTTTCAAATGACACTTTAGTTGGGCAGGTTTATTGATACATTACTATTCATTCCTAACTTTTCCTTTTATACCAGTTGAACCTCTCTAAGTCGAATTTCAAGGGGCCAGCAAAAAAAGTCGACTTAGGGAGGTTTCAACTTAGGGAGGTCAAGAATTTTATAGATTGGAACTACAATACAAAGCCCTTTTTTCTGGAAAACTTGGAAGAAATGTAAATTTACATAATATAAAGCTTAAATGGCTTCTTAAATGTGTTGAAAGGCTGCGGAAATTGGAGGCAGGGGTTCATTTCCCCAATTAAATCTTTCACTTCCTTTAAACACAAAAATTTCTGTTTTTATTGCTTTTTTCTTTCTTTTTCAAGAAAAAAATGGCCAAGAGGCCACAGAAAATTCAACTTACAGAGGCTTGAGGGGAAAACCCTTCGACTTAGGGAGGTTTTTTATGCATTGTTTCTAAGGGGATTCAGAGGGGATCTGAAAAAAATTCGACTTAGGGGGGTATTCAACTTAGGGAGGTTTGAGTTATCGAGGTTCACCTCTAATTTCTTCTGAGATATACTTGTACTGTATACTTATATTATCCACAAAATGTTAGTCTGAAATGTGTTAAAAACCATGAATCTGGTTACACCAAAATTTTCATTATATTCAATTTTTATCATGTCCCTAGGATTTTGTTGTAACAGTATTTACTTTACTGTAATTTTTTTCTACTTGTGTTATATCAACTAACCTTCAGCCATGATGCTGCCAAAAACGTCCCCCGTGATAACATTGCCACCCACGAGACACAACGCGTAAAACGCAGCTGAGAGCGTGAACCAAATGGCCCCCAACTCGCAAGTCCTCGCCCTCAGCCTGGGCGTGGCGACCAAATGACACACGCTAGGTTTAGGCGCATCCACAGTCACCACGGACGCGTCCCAGGCTTCAAACTTGACCAAGGAATCCGCATGCGCGCAATTGGGACACACCCCAACCAGTTGCGGGGCGTGACATCTACCCGCGCGGTTGGGCATTGTTGCGAGCCGAACTGACGCGCCGCGCGACAGAGTGGACAGCAAGGTGGACGCTGACGGTGGCAGAGTGCCGCTGGCACCACCACCACCAGCGGTCGCAGGTGGTAAGTCCAAGGTGGTGCTGGTGAGGGATGCGTGGCGCAGTTGGCGGGACACGTAGTCGGACATTATTTTGTGCTCCAGTTCTTTGGCGGCCTCCACGTCCGCTGCGGACATGGTTTCCGGGTAGTGGATGGCCTGTGATGACGGGTGCAGGGTACCATTGAGGCCCGCGATGGTGCCCAGCACTTGTTGGGCTTGTTTCTCCTGGTCGGCTGCGAGCAACCACCGGGGTGACTCTGGGAACCACCTGCGCGAAAAGATAAAAAAATAATAAAATGATGAAGCCATGTATATACTGTATAATTTATATTTAGTTATTCCTTATCATAACCAGCACGTTAAAATGGAAGCATTAACTCCTGTAAGACCAGAAATTCAGAAAAGGGTGCCACAGTTCCACCAAAATATTCCCACTTACTGAAGCAAAGGATATTTTTTGTAACACCAAATGTTTGGGGTTGGAGTAATTCTTTACTTTTACATGAATACTGTATTAATAAACTGTGAACAAGTGAATTCCGTAAAAAGGATTTTTTTCTTTATAACGCATTTTTCAATGGTTCTGCGTCATAAACACTAAAACAGGACTTAAAAATTCGTCATAAGGAATATAATTAAATGCTTTTCCTCTGTATCTGTAAAATTTGAATTTATAAATTGTCTTGAAAAATATTTTGAAACCGATTTGCAAATTGAAAAAAATAATGTGTCAATGTAAATGGGTTTGAAATTTCTTTAGTTACAAATTGCAAGTTTACTGATTAAATGTGCCTTTGCATGCTGTCACAATTTGTGGTTGGATCTGAAAAAGATACTGTTGGAATCTCTATCATAATGCAAGGGGACCAGGAAAATTCGTTGTAGAGAGAATTTCACCATAGAGAACCCCTATATTACATGGAGAGAGAGCCTTACACCTATACAAGACAAAAAACTCATTATACGGAGAAAACCTTTGCAAAACATTAAGATCATTATGAATAGAGTCCAACACCTGTACTGTATAAAGAAGCTGGTGACTAAAAGGTTTCATTCATTATCCCTTTTAAGTGAATTGGAATGACATTTTTTCATACTTTGAAGAGCAGGTAAAAATTTAGAAAATATTTTGGCATAACATGATATGCTGGAACCATCATTATTATTATTATTTGTAACATAGTGTGAGAAATTAATTAAATGATCCCTTATATGCATGAATAAAAGACTGTCTTTCAGGCTTACCAGAACAAAGAGAAAAGTAAGACACAGGGAACAGATATGGCCAACTGCAGCAATCTCCAATCTGGCAACCCAAAGGCAATCCCTGATAAAGAAGCCACTCCAACTGACAGTGGTATCAAGAATGCAGTGGCTGCCAGTGTCCTAGCTTTGCCACCCACAGCTTCAACCACTGTTTAAAAAAAATCAAGAGTATAACTAAAACATTTAGAAGAATAAAATATATCAAAAAGGAGCTTACATAAAACAAAAGAAGACAAGTAGAGACCAGTGGCACCCATGGCCACTAAGAATCTCAACACAATGAACAAACTCAGGTCTCTGCATAGACATACAAGCACAGCACAAAGAGCCACTTGGCAGGCAGAAATCAGAGCCACTGGTTTCCGTCCAATTCTGCACATATCAAACCAATAACATTTAAATTCAACACTTCTTTCATTCAAAAATATGATTTCCTAACATACCTGTCACAAAACTGCCCATAAACCACTGCTCCACACAAAATCCCTGCAATAAAACTGGTTTGCACAATCATGGTGAAGTAAGCCTTGTCACAAACAAGGTTCCACTGAAATGAAGAATGAAATAAACAATCAATATCATCATTCAAAATGTCATTCTTCAAAGTTTCATTCAGAGAAATTAAAGCTCCTCACTGCCAACAGCACTTTATTCAGAATGATTTAAAAACTGAATTCTTACTAAATTAAAATTTTAATGTTACAATATTTTTAATACTACAAATAAATTTACTAAATAATAAAAAAACAAATATTAATTTCCTTTATTTTAATAAAAATAAAAATATAAAAATAATTAAATAAATAAAATTAAAAAAAGATTTTAAATGATTAAAAGTAAAATTTTTCATAATGTGTTTAGGTGTTAATATAACCTTTTTCCCTCAACATTTGTGGTGGGACAAAGTCCTGTAGAACTTCCCAAAAAATTAAATTTAGATTTGACAAAAATGTTCTCACCTGTCCTTCAATGGTTTTATGGAATACATTTGTATCATGGGTCCACGATTGACAAGGAATCATTCTGGCTGTTTTTTCCACATTATGATCCTTTGGATTGAAACGATTTGGATCAATGGTGAAGGGATCCGGAAGTACCCCATGGTCATACATCACACATTGCTCATAATTCCCCTGAAAGTAAAAAAATCATATTCCAACCAATTGCAAAATTGTAAATTCTCATATATTTGTCATGCATGTAGAAAAAATTCAACTTTACATACTCTCTTTGAGAACTGGCAATTAATAAAACAGGTTGCTGATAAACAATTACAATACTGAAAATTACAATACTGTATTTGAAAATATTTCAACAAATAATGAACAAGGTTGTTCAGAGCTCAATATGTGAAGCAGAAATTGATCATTTTGCCTTTTTTTATGGATATACTCACAGCAAAGATATGGGTCATATGGTATAAATATGCAAATAAGCTAATGTATTAGAGAAAATTAATCAAATAAAACTTCCAAGTCTCACATTTGCAGGGAAAATGTTTTTGGTTAGGGATCCCAAGACAAAGGAGCCTTGTTTAGAATGGATGTCACTTCATATTTGAACAAAGATGGTACTGCACAATGCACTACTGTACTGTATTTCAGCCATTTGCACAACTTTTAATGCAGTTGGGTCCCCTCAAATCAACATTGCAATGATAAAAAATCCCAGAGAATACCTGACCATTCCCTAATATGCTGTTCAAACCTCTCTTGACTCAAAAAATTACCTCTCACCTTGATTTGTCAAATGTTGTATAGTATACAATTTGTTATTCACTTAAGAGTGAATTTAAGAACTCTTGTGGCAGACAAATAATGAAAAGTAAGCAAATTAGTATCTCAATGTTTTCCCTGAACAACTTTGTGAAAGTGCAACATCAAAGAATGATTTTTAAAAATTTTAATCCAGGCGAGAAACTAATTTTCCCTAATGAGCCTATGCAAAGTAGACAATATACAAGTATTGCTCTGCAATTTGAATCCTAATCTTTTGCTGGACTAGGGTCAAATTGTGAAGTAGTCAAATTGTAAAGCAACATCAAATTTATTGTTTTCTACATTGTATTTGACAGTTTTGCCCATCTCTGTGTGTCAAATTGCAGAGTCTAGGTCAAATTGCAAGATGACATCCCGGCAATTTCAACCGTTGACTTGCAGGATGGTCAAATTGCAGGAGGTCAAATTGTTAGGTACCACTGGTATTCTTTAATAACACAAAAATGCTGCACATCAATTTTTCTGAGTCCCTTCACACTTGATTTTTTGATATTCAATATCAAATACTGTATTTTCAATGCAACTATACCATTTCTTATACAAACCTCTGGAGAATGAGGGATGGCATAGTTTTTCCACTGACTGTCAGTCCAGTTCATGAAGGGGTACTCTGTGGGTTTCGAGCACCAGTGATTTACACCAGGTGCAAAAAAGGCAAAAGCACTCAAGTGCCATGCCAAAGGAAGGCCAAGCAGTGCTGAAAAAAGCAGCAAGTTCCGCTGCCAGCGTCCGAATTCCCCAATTCTTCCGCAAATTTTGTCTCTGTCCACCAGTTCTGACCCTTTCCCTCCGGTCTTTTTGTCTCTGAGAAAAAAAAATGAAACTAGATATAAAAATTCCAAAAAAATTAAATAAAAATAGATTCCCAATCTCATTATACAGAAAATAACTCTGCAGAATAAAACCACGCAGAATCTTATTTTGGCACCAGAAGTAGCTTCAAAAGCAAAGAACTAGAACAGGTGTATCTGTAATTGAGCACACATGATGGGAAAAAAATCTAAAACAATTAACAATAAATGTGCCTGCTCTTGATTATGAATTAGAGTAAACCTACTTTGAAATTTATTTTCAATTTTCTGGAATGTGAATAGCTCAGCATGTTCAAGGGTTATCAAAATATTGCATAGAGAAATATAATTTATTAATTGTTGCTAGAAATTTTGGAAAAAGTGTCCATATCTTGAGACATTGCATGGACAATAGGGCTCTTTTTTCAGTTCTATGTGTCCCTAAGTTGGATCATCTATGTATGTCTTGTCTGGGTCCCACCATATATAGGGCGTTTGTAACATGGGGCATTTGTCAGCCAATATAATCAACGCCCCCCCCCCCCAAGTGGGGAAATTGGTAGACACTGGGGATTTGTTGGTAATTCTACACAGTGACCCTGCTGTGCACATGAAGCGTACCAAAGTTCTTCTGTTGCACATGCATATCCCCAATGTACACCATTTGTGTGTTCACACCAGGATTACTCAGGGTCACAATTTTAAACAAATAAGTTACACCAAGGCAACGGTTGGTGCAGTTATGTGATGCTCCTGTTATTTCACATTTGTGCACCAAGTGTAACCCTGGAATGGTAGTTTTTTAATTTTTATATCTTTCAAAGCGATCAAGCTATTTATATTCACAAAAATGTTTAAATGTTTCAAGTAAATTCACTCTAATTCATGATCAAAAGCAAGCTGATTTTGTGCCTCTTTTTTCTATAATTTCCATTCCTAACCCAACATATTGTATACCTGTGCTCCTTTCCAGTTTGTTCCTGCTCATCTTCTTCCTCATCCTCTTCGATAATCACATGCGCCGAGTGCGTGGAAGTCAGCGACGTTCGTCGGATAGCAGCGTCATCTACAATTATAGCTTCCGTATCTCCGACATCCACGGGCATTTCTCGGTACGGCCTCGCTTCGACCTTATTCGCTCGCTTTCCTCGCTTGTTATCATTATTACCCCGCTTTTGAGCAGCAGCAGAAACCATCACGTCTGATCCCAACACCGCAGTGCCACAAGATCCATAATTTATCTCGTATTCCGTCTCCATAATGGTGGGTGGCAATGAGGCCCGAGGGATTCGGGGATGTGGTGTGGGTTTCCTGGGCGCCGATGAAGGTTTGGACATTGCGGTTGGCGGAGATGATGACGACGTTGATGAGGACGTTGAGGAATCGCAGGAAGACGTTAGTGATGGTGGTGAACCAGACACAGATGCTGGTTGTTCGTTGTCTTTGTGGTTGTTGTTGTTGTTGATGTTATTGGTTTGGGCTAATGCCCGAGTGCTGAATTTCCGTATCATTTGCTGTACTGTTAGTTGTCTACGACTCCCTGCAGGGATGTTGTAGCGTCATCTGTGAAGCAAAAGAACAAGCTTTGAGCGATCGATGTGATTCACGTTGAAGAGATGAACTCGCGGCGAATAAAATTCCAGAGAACTTTTCCAGGTTGTAAATGTTCCATAATGGTAACAATATTCAGTGAGACCCCAAGATGTGGACATAATTGGTGCATCAAGAGTGTCCAAATGTCAGAATGTCCCTAAGTTGAGTCTCATATTCCCTTTCACTTCAATGCTATAATGTTTTTAATCAGTTCTCCTTTATGTCAAAAATTGGAAAGAAGTCCTCAAAAATTTCACAAGAATTTTTTCCTTTGACTTCAAGTTGTAGAAAACAACAGTGCAGAACAACCACATGGAATCTGATCTCTTGGCGTCAAAAGGAGATCAAAAGCAAAGAAAAAGAATAAGTCTTGCTAGAATATGCACAGATAATGGAAAATATATAAAAAAGAGGCACAAAATCAGCTTGCTTTTGATCATGAATTAGAGTGAATTTACTTGAAACATTTAAACATTTTTGTGAATATAAATAGCTTGATCGCTTTGAAAGATATAAAAATTAAAAAAGATTATGTTTAGGAAACATTTCAGAAAAGTGTCCCTAACTCAAGCCAATGTCCATGTCATGCGCTGCTGCATCCAGCCACAACTGGCCAAGAAAACTTTTTGCATCTTGAGGCCAGTGAGCCTTGCCAAAATCCAGTTTTTACAAGACTCACTGAGCCTCACCCAAGGCCAACAAGGGGTCATCACTTCCTCAATTTTTCCAAAATTGGCCAATCCTGAGCCAAGGAGAAATCCCCTGATTTCTTCCTGATGCAATCTGAGCACCTGGGTATAAAAGCCTTCATTCCTCTTTGAGAGGAGAAGTGAGAATCTTGTGTTAAAGTGGCTTTCAACTTAAATTACCTTATTTGTTTTTCTGAGCTAACCAACCTACCTTACAATTGACTCTGCCATTCCAAACAACCATTTCATTAACAGCCAAATGAAAATTTGGGCAATGAGAATGAACTTCTCTGAAAAGAGTTTGAGTTCTTATTCAAAACTTGCATTCTGGTGGCTGCACAATTCAATTCCTTTGTCAGGGATCCAATGGACCAATGACAGTCAAAATTGTGGGCCTGATTTTTGTTTGTTCTCAAGTGTCCCTTTGTGCTTTGTTTCCTGCTTTGAAGTGAATGAATGTCTTTGAGGGGATTTGGGTTGGGTGGGGGTTTGGATGCGGGAGTCTTGGTTGTGCCTTGTGAACACTGAAAAGCAGCAAATAAAGTGTTTTGTTCATTCATTCAAGTGTCCCTATGTCAAATTGTCCGTATGTCAGGGTGTCTGCATATCAGGGTCTCACTGTTCTTTGCGTTGCATTTTCTTTGGAGACTTGAAAATTTATCAAAAGCACAGCCGAACAAATAAAATGCAATGCAATGGAATTTTTAATATCTCAAATAACTTGGTCTAGACTCGAAACGACAGCAACTTAACAAAAACAGCACTCCCAAAATATGTGGGTTTCATTCGATCCACTTGTTTTGCGACATCAAATACTTCACATAAGGGAGTCACAGAAATGATTCGAAATCAGTGGGACGAGAAACTGAGCGTGTCCATTGACACAACTTCGTCGACAATAGCCCGAAAAAGAAGAGGGGAAAAGCATTTCAAAATTGGGGAAAGAAAAAACAGGAAACAATAGCAAAGAAATAAACGTAACCGATCACTGCGATGACATGAATCAAGGCAAGCAATGAGCCAGAAAGCAATCTATTCTCCACCATCAGGGAAAGTTTGGTTTACTTCCTCAAATTTACAGGGATGTCCGAAAAAAATATGCTTTTTCTCCACACAACGAACTTTTTTTTAAAACGAATTTCATGAAAAATTATGCTTAAAAATGTAAAAAAATGTTCCTCCAATTTATTTCTGAATACTTCGCTTCAATTTTTTTTGAGGAATTTTTTGTAATCATTTAAAAATTCTTTTTAAATTTGAAAAATTCGGCAATCAATCATCTTTAGCAGCTAACAGTTATTTGAAAATATTCCGCAAGTTACACGAATCAAATCCTATAATGATTTTTAAGAATTCCTAAAGAACTGAAAGCTGTTGCCATTAGAAGTTTGAAAACAAATTTAAAAAAGAATAGTGTACCTGAATGCACTTTTAATTTCGTCAGAAACAAAGAAAAATTGATGAATATTTACGCATCGAACTTAATTTCGTATCATGTATATTTTAGGTCACACATTTTTCAGCACATATGAACTAATAATTCCACATAAATTATTTTGCTGTTATAAAAAATACTATTCTAAAATTCTTGGAACGTTTTCTGGACAGTTTGTGGTAAAATGAATTTATCCTCAGACGTTGAAAAGGCAGCAAAATGTAGGGAAGAAAAATTAGCAGGATTTTTAAAAGAAATATTTAAATCGTCAACCCTTTTTTTTGGGCACTTTCTGTGGAATTGATCGGGTGTCGATCAAACTGTTGACGTGACGGCTTCAAATCCACAGAAAAACGAAGTATATTTAATGATCAATTTCGAACAGAAAATACCTCGGCACCAAAAAATATGACCCATTTTCCGACCGAAAGTCCATGAATTCGAGAGTAAAGTACATTTTTTAAACGAAGAATTTGGTTAAAATTAAGTCCCCGAATATTTTTTTCTCGCGGTCTAAACTTAGATTTTGACATGAAAATAAATTCTTAAATTTCATGCTTGAAAAATACTGGGAATATTTTTGAATATTCGTCCTTTATCTCGAAGCTTCAAATTGAAAGTTGTTCCAATGATACCGAAAATTATGATTAGAAGGCGAAATTTCTGAGACCGAAAGGCCAAAATAACGAAAGGAAGAAGTAAAACGCTGTATAATTGTGTTTCCCTAGAGTGAGTAGAAAAATTCTTCCTCGTATTCTTGTGTCTTCATATATATCTTTTATTTTATTTTTTCCGACAACATAATGATTGAAGCGTGCGAATAAATTTTGTCCGGACTGCGGAAGCAGAACGTCGTCCTCATTTCCTTCCGAACACGTATGAATCGTTTCTCAAGCTTGTGCCAATTTTCTCCACTCCACGTTCGATTCACACTCATTTTTTTTATAACGTTTCATAGAAATTTTTTTTTGCTTTAAAAAAAATAGGATCATGACAAGAAGCTGTTCGATCGAGAGCAATTTTCGATTCTGGCATAAAATCGTGTCTCTTTATGCAATACTCATCTTTCGCGGAACTTTTCCGACCTGCTTTTGATTCCGGTTGGGCCATATTTTAAATTTCGAAAAATACCGAAATATGCTAGGAAAAAATTAAACCAGTCCTTATTTATTTCAAATTTTCATATGCACTATCATGGAAATGCACTTTGATCTCAATGGGGAACGTATGTATCATAAACTTTCAGCTTGTGTTCAATTGTAAACTTGTACTGAAAAATATCTGTTGAAATAATCCTTGTCCAAACCATCCAAAATAGAACATTATATACAGGTGGCATCTTGCATTTCAAAATCCCACAATTTGACCATCCTGCAATTCAGCAAGCAAATTTGCTACAATGTTGACTTGCAATTTGACCTCTTCGCCCTCAATTCAACCTCCAAAGAAACTCAAATTTTCAAATTCAATGTAGAAAACATCAAAATTGATACTGTCTCACAATTGAACCACTTCACAATTTGACCTCTACCTGGCAACAGATTGAGGTTGAATTGAGCGGCCTCACCTTTAGTAGCATTTTTCCCTGGCTCCAGCTTGACTGGTTAAATTTTATATTTCTTACTATATATAGTATCAGTATTTTGAGTCACTCATCTCTCTTTTTCAGAAAGTATTTCTGATGGGTATTGGAATTCAATGAAGATTTGTGTTCAGGAACTGCTGCAATTGCTATAATTCTGGCTTATGCTGCAATTCTTGTTGCTGATATTTTGTTTTCAATCTCAGGGAAAGAAGGATGAGGTGTACACATGCACATCAGTTGTGCAGTTGCACATTGTGGAATGCATTTTCTTTTATTTTGGTATCCATTTAACCCTTGGACAGCAGAGGGTTCTTTCCCATTGCTGGCCAAAATTGGATTATTTTTGTATCCTGGGGCATTTTCAGTTTTCTGAAGGTCAGAAGAGCTCTTCCAGGTGGGCTGAGGCAAAGTCAGGATTAATCCAAGAAAAGCCTGTTGCTTAACATGGAATTTTTTTATTTTCTGTGAAATTTTTCTGTGCAAAAAGAAAAAGAACATTGGGATTTTTCCCAAATTTGTCCTCAGCTCTCTGTTGCCATTTTTTTGTTTCTTCCCTGAGGTGAAACAAAATTTTGCAAAAATAGTTCAACTTTGCTGCCCAAGGGGTATACAGTTTATTTCTTTGTTTCCCACTCTGAAGTGATTGCATGCATTTGAACAGATTTGCGTTGGGTGGGGAGGGGGTTTGGATGCGGGAATGTTGATTGAATTGCCATGTGACAGCATCCGCCTTGCACACAGGCTGTTATTGTGAGCTTGCCACTTTATAGTATGTTGACATGAAAGCTTGCTTTATACAACTGAGTTCAGCAAATTAAAACTTGATACGTTCTTGTGACAAGTACAATGACATTTAAATTAAACAAATATTTGCTAAGAAAAACTAAAAGAATTCTAACCACATATCATAGTGAAACATTGAAGCCACATGACAGATCTCATAATCAAATCTATCATACAGAAAAAATGAAAACTAAAGCTGCGTAATTTAGTTTATGTTTCATGTACAACTAAACTAGCATAAAGTCAAATGCAGTCAAAGCTTTTGAAGTTTTGCATCCACCCTCTAATCAATTACGCTTGATTCAATTAATTTCACCATACATGAAAAAAGAATTTTGAATCTGGTATGGGTACGGGAATGTTGATTGAACCTTCTGAACACTGAAAGTTGGAAAATAAAAGATTTCTGTTCATTCATTCTCATGGGATATCCTAGCTTCCTAAATAAAAAGGCTTCTTCAAAAAAATTTATTGACTTGT